GGGCCAGTGGACAGAGAGGGAGGGCCCCAGGGAGACAGGACCCACCTGATAGCCACTCTGAGGCCCAGGTGCCAAAGTGAAGCTGGCTGGATCCCAGCCCCTGCTGAGCTGTCCCAGCCGCCACCACCGCGTGGGACACAGACGAGCTGTCCTGGCAGAATTCCTGACCCCCGGAGTCCCGAGCGGTGAAAGGTCACAGACACAGGTGCGATCTGCCCTGCAGTGGGGGTTGGGGCACTGCCCTCGGCGATTCTGCTCTCTCTGACCGTGATCGGGGACTCTCCTGCTGTCATTTAATCGGTATGCAACCGTGATGCTTACTTTCTGTTGGGTTACGATCCAAAGCACCTGTGCGGACTGTCCCTGGAGGCTGCTGGCTGGCTCTTTGGCCTGTCCCATCACTCTCCCGACAGTCAGTTTTCAGCACTCCCTCACCCCGGGCACTGAGGCTTCTCCAGGCGGTTGTGCCGGTCTCTTTCGCCAGTCCTAAGACTAGCCGCTTCTCCAAGGAGCCCTGGTTCCTTTTGTCGGAAACCAGTCTTAGAAACCAGGATCTGGGTGCTGGTGAGCCTGTTGCTTCCTGGACGACAGAGCTAGAAAATGCTCGTACGCGTGCTCTCCCGCGTGGGCTTGTGTGCGCCGGCGTCTACACCAACCTGAACACAAGCTGATGCTGGTGTCTCCAGCTGTCACCCATGACCACACAGGTCGTTCTAGCTGCCTCTCCTTGCTTAACTCCAAGTAGTGAGACACATGCCTGCCACGGCGGCCACCCACTTGCTGAACTGGGTGATGCTGGCACACACCAGAATCGATAAACCAGAGCCTGTGGGACACGGTGCTACTGGCTAGCGAGGAGGGCTGTGCACAATTCTTCGACCCCCATCCTTGCAAACTCTTCTCATCCCTGAAGTGAACTGGGTCAGCACTTCGCCACCCTCTACACTAAGGTCATTTCATTCGAATTCCGATTCACTCCGATTCTCCCAACTTCCTAAAATAGCTTTTTTAAGACTGTGTGCATTGAGGTTCACACCGAGCTGTGCTCTTCCTTGAATCTTGATAAGCACACGGGGCCACTCACCCACCGGGACAATTCCGTACAGAATGGCTTCTGTGCTCACGCCCCACCCCAGCTTGTAGTTGTAAAGCCAGTTCCTTTCAAGGTGGTTTGTTCTGGATCAAATCCTACAGGAGATAGTGGGTAATTTTTAGAGATACTGAAATTCCCAAAGACGGACTACAGAGCTAGTGATCACTATATAAAAACGTTGTTGTTTTTTTGTTTGTTTTTTTTTTTTCCAGATCCTGTCTCGTTTGGCTGGTAAAGGTACTGTGCCATGCATGTTGTGTCATCTCCAGGTGCATGTCGATGAACTAAAGTATCCGGAACATGGACACTGGTTTGCAGAGAGGCAGACTGCTGCTGTTAAACTGAACCAGAGGGGCACCTGGTGGTTCAGTGGGTTGAAGCCTCTGCTTTCGGCTCGGGTCATGATCCCGGGGTCTTGGGATCGAGCCCCGCGTCGGGCTCTCTGCTCAGTGAGGGGCCTGCTTCCCCCCTCTCTCTCTGCCTGCCTCTCTGCCTACTTGTGATCTCTGTCTGTCAAATAAATAAATAAAATCTTAAAAAAAAAAACAAAACTGAACCAGAGTGTCGGCAATGATAGAGAGAGGGAAACCAGTTGCTTCCTAATTGAATCAGGAAGAGCATCTCCCTCACCCAGGCTCAGCCTCCTTGGGGTTTCCCTGTGGGTCTCGGGCTGATCCCCATCCATCTTGAAGCAGGAGGCCTGGGAGCATTCAGCTTAGCCCAAGATCCATATGATGAGGCAGAGTAAGTGAGAGTCCAGATAGGAGTGCTGGGCACGTGAGGTGATGGGAACTCTCCAGGCTGCATGGCCCGGGGCTCACTGCAGGGGGGCAGGGTGCTGGTTTCCCTGTTGAGAGCCCTGGGGGAAGGTTACTGTGGCCGGGTCAACCCTTTGAGATGGGCGAGGGACAGTGTGTTGTGGGCATGACATCGCTGACCCACCTGGCCCAGCCCATCACATAGGAGAACTCCGTCCTCATGCAGCATCCCTCCCAGGAGAGCTCAACTCCACGCTTACTGTAAAGCCGAGATGCTTGAAGGAATCACATGCACAGGGCACCTGGGGGGTCAGGTGGTGAAGCCTCAGGCTTCGACTCAGGTCATGAACCCAGGGTCCTGGGATCGAGCCCCACATCAGGCTCCCTGCTCAGCGGGCAGCCTGCTTCCCCCACCTCTCTGCCCGTCTCTCTGCCTACTTGTGATCTCTGTCTGTCAAATAAATAAAATCTAAAAATTAAAAAAAATTTAAAAAAAAAGGAAAGATTGGCTGGTTCATGATACAATGTCTCTATTATTTTCATATTCTCTTTTTTTTAATAAAGATTGTATTTATTTACTTGTCAGAGAGAGAGAGAGTGTGTGCACAAGCATGAGCAGGGGGAGGGGCAGAAGGAGAGGCAGGCTCCCTGCTGAGCACGGAGCCCTCTACCCTGAGACCATGACCTGAGCCGAAATCTAGAGTTGGACACTTAAACCGACTGAGCCACCCAGGTGCCCTGTTTTTGTTTTTGTGTTTTTAAGCGCCAAGGCTCTTCGGGCATTGTTTTGGCTCCTGCCCACACTGAAGGGGAGGACACGGGGTGTGCCCCCCGTGTGCCCGGAGGACTGTGTTCCCGTTTGTTCACAGAAACCCTTGGCGCTATAAGCCGCCGCACGTTCCCGCATCCCCAGACCACGTCCTTCTCTCTGAGACCCTCTGAGCCCTGACTTGCTCACTCAACACATTAGCCAGATGGCGGCCGCACAATGCTCCCCGTGCACCCAGCTCTGCTCTCCCATCCGGGAGGCAGCTCCCCCGGCACTGGCCTGGACATTGACCTGGGTGGCCGTCCCAGTCCGTCCTGTGGAGGGAGAGCTGCCCTGTTTTCATCTCTTGACAGCACTTTGAAAACCATCTTAGCTGTCTGTGAGCTGGCCTGCCGTCTGTCTGCCTCTCTCCAACAGCTTCTGGCTCCCTGGCACACAGTAGGTGCTCAGCACATATTTGCCGAGTGACAGGACAGTGGGTGTGAGCACGTGTCTCCGTCTGTCTGTGTCGTGGCGGCTCGGAATGCCTGTGGTTTCTCCTCCCAGTGAGCCTGGCTGCCTGGAATGTCCCGAGTCAGTACCTGATTCTCAGTGGGGCTGGTTGACCCCTGCCTCGTCCAGTCACACCTCCCTAAAAGAGGGGAGGTGGGTACAGGGTTCTGGTCTGGCAGGGGGCTTGGCTAGAGCTCCGGGTGGGACTGCTGATGTCAGTAGTTTTGTCCTGGTGCGTGCTACTCCCGAGGAGTGGAGGTGCCAGGCGAGACTGGGAAATGAGCCACCCACGGGCACCTGGGAAGGGGCAGAAGGCCCGCCGGATGCCACTCTCACCCGTGGCTAATAACTGCAGCGAGTGGGGGTTTTGCTGGCCTCGAGCAGAGCGGGCCAGGGAAGAGGGGGTCGGAGCCCTCCACTGCCTCTGTCCTTTCTCTCCCAGAGGTGCCTGGGGGTCAGCTTCCCCACAGTGGCAGTCCCCTCAGATTTACACATTTGGGCTCAGGTGAGGGCTGAGTTTCTGCTGGGAATGCCCCAAAGGGCTCAAGGCCAGGGACCCTGCTGGGAGCGGGAGGACGCCCACAGGCTCCTGGCTCAGGGCTGGGAGCTGACCTGGGGCCCCTTCCAGACAGAGGGGCCGGCACTGGGCCATTTCTGCCTCCCTCCAACATGGTCTGGACATTTTCCCTCCATGGGGGAGAGACAGCCCAGCAGACAGAGGCGGGAACAGAGGACAGAGATGGAGAGACATGGGCGGGCGCAGAGAAGGGAGGTCACCGGCTAATATAAACCAGTTAAACAAACAGGAGGAGAGGCCAGGCCTCAAGACCAGGCGGGGCTTGTTTTTCCAGAATGAAAGGCCCAGGGAGGTGCTGGGACCAGGATGAGTTCTGATTCCAGTTTGAAGAGGGGCTCCAACCCCCAGGGCCTGAGTCTTGCTGAGGAAATGGGTCCATTGTCAGGGGGCTCCTCACACCCTCAGAATCTCATTCCCTCTGCTGTAGCAATGAGTCCCCCCACCTTGCCTGAAGCTGGACAGTCCAGCTGAACTGGAGTTGCTGCTTGTCTGAGGAAATGGGGGCCAGAACAAGGTTCCAGGGTGAGACCCTGCCCACCAGGGACTGGGGCCTGTGACCATGATTCTGTGCAAATGGATAGTCTAAAACATGCACTGTGGGTTTTGGTGGTTGTTTGGATTCTTTTTCTTTTTCTTTTTTTTTCTTTTTGAGGTTTGCTTAACTAGAAAGAGTGGGTTTGGAACAGTGTGTGATATGCTATTTTGCATTTGTTTATGTGACTCTCTAAGTTTTCCCAGAGCTCAAATTTGTACCTTCCGTTGGGGAGGCTCCCATACCCGCCTTTCCCCCTCCACCCTGGACTGGGAGCATCCTAGCCAGGGTTTGGTTTCAGGGACACCAAGCTCCCTCCTTAATGGTGGGCAGATGGAGGTCCAGGCCAGGGGGCAGGGGCTGGTCAAACACTGCCCCTCGGTGCTCAGCGTCACCACCGTCATGCCCTGGCAGGCTCCTCCGGGTGGTAAAGAGTGCTGATGGGCCGCAGAGCCCATCATACTGTCCTAGGGTAGCCCCCAGCCTGCCCCCCACCCAGGGTGGGTGTGACTGTTCATTTCCTTTCACAAATGAAGAAATGTGGCCCCCGGAGGAGGCTGAGGGGAAGAGGGAAAGAGGGTAGGTCTGGCACCCTGGGCTCCTTGGGGGTACCAGTCCCAAGATGCCTTTTTGCTAGGAGGGACATCTTGGGCTCCACAACGTGCACAGAAGGGAGGACCTGCCCATGCTGTCCACACAGGGGAGCACCCTGGGTCGGTTCCCCTGACAGAGGTGCATGTGAGATGACGTGCACCCCAGAGCCCCGCCCTGCGGCAGCCCCAATTGGCCTCATATGTCACAGCCACCCCCACAGCATCTGGGACCAAGCACTCAACCCTCCTGCCCCTTCCAGGGCTGGGCAACTGTCCCCTTCTCCTTCTCCGGTACCTGGGCCAGAGGAGGGACAGGGTCTCCACTCTGATTTCCCCTCATTTTGTTGGACGCAGGGCCCTGTGTTCCTACCCCTCCTCACCAGGCCAGCCAAAGATTCGGGGAGGACTAGGGACCAGCTGGAGCCAGAGGGGGCGGTCTGCAGACTGTTGACCCCGCCCAGGACTCCGTGATGTCATGGTGGGTGCTAAGGAGGGGGAGGGGGCCGGGCTGTTTTTCTGGAGAGTTGGAACACAAGTGAGACAAAGCGAGGCAGTCGGGCCAGGCAGGCGCCATGGAGCTGCGGCCCCAGGTTATGATCTGGGAACTTGTGCTTCTACAGAGTGAGTGTGGGGTGGGTGGGGGTCCGGAGTCTTCCGGAGTCTGTGTTCTGGGCAAAGCTGCCTGTCTGAGCTTGAGAGCAGAGGAGTGGGACGCTCCCACTGCCGGGAAGGGGCTGGGTCTGGGGCGGGGGTGCTCAGGGTGGCAGCGCACCAGGATAAGGGGCCCCCAGGACCCAGGAGGGGGTGAGGTTTGATGTGAGATCTCCACCAGAACTTCCTCTCACACGGATTCCACGGATTCGGGAGCCAGAGGGCCAAGAAGGCTGGGAGGTGCCTCTCACTGGGGTCCCTCCCCCACCCCACTCTTCCAGAAAACCCCTCGGGTCTGCACTTCTTCCTGTGGTCAGAAGAGGAGTGGGTTGGAGGATATAGGGGGCCTGGGAATGGTGGGGCTCGCGGGGTCTGTTCTAGTCACCCCCTTGGCTCCCAGGCCTCCTGAGCCCGCCTCCTGGGCTGGCCTGCTGACCCGGCACATTCCTCCTGGTCCTGGGCGCTCAGCCCATCTCTGGAGCAGGAACTTGCCTGTGGGGTGTGGACAGTCCAGCACTCCTGCTTTAGACCTCTACCCTTCAGGACGGCTGGGGGGCTCTGGCCCTGAGAACTGGCCGTGGGGCAGGCTGCCCAGCCGTCTGAGGAGTCTTGAGGGCTTGTGTGGCAGGGTCCTTGGCAGGTGCATGTACCTCATTGGACACGAATGTGCAGAAGCCCCCAAAACAGCCTTGAGCATCATGCTTTGGTGCTCTGGTGGCTTTGCTGCAGCGATGGTAACAAGCACATTCCAGAGCTGGCTCTACCATTCACCCCCAAAAGGGCAAGAGCTGTCCCACAGTCGAGGCGGGTGGCTGTGAGGGTTAGGTGGGGCTGTGGGGACTGTGCCCGTGCCATGGGAGGCTAAAGGAACCCCCTCCCCCATCTTGTCTGCCTGGCTTCTCTGACTTCGTCCCCACCTGTTAAAACGGTGTCATCCTGGGGGGCTCAGCTGGTTAAGCATCTGCCTTTGGCTCAGGTCACGATCTCAGGGTCCTGGGATCAAACCCTGCCTTGGGCTCCCTGCTCAAGGGGAAGACTGCTTCTCCCTCTCCCTCCCTCTTTCCCCCATGTGCTCACGCACACTTGTATGCTCTCTAATAAATAAAACCTACTTAAAAAAAAAAAAAAAGAGAGAGAGAGAGGGTATCATTAACACCCACCTCAGCAAGGGCTGTAATGGAACCCGGGCAGCCAAGTGGGGGGTCTGGGGCTGGGTGGGTGACCTGGGTGCACAGGGTCAGGTCATCCCCTCCCCAGTGCGACTCTCTGCTTTTTCCAGGTTCTGCTGTCCTTCTGTCCTCAGGTTAGTGACTGCCCTCCCCTGGAAACCACAACACTAACCCTCCTGTCTTGCCAGACCCACCCTACCCCTTCCCCTCGGGTCCTACCCTCCACCAGTGACCCCTCCTCCCCACCAGTGCCCTCAGGGCCCGCGCCAGCCGCCAGCTCCGTGGTGTCCGAGTCCACAGTGAGCTGGGCGGCGGGCGCCCTGGCCGTGCTGCGCTGCCAGAGCCCGAGAATGGTGTGGACCCAGGACCGGCTGCACGACCGCCAGCGCGTGGTCCACTGGGACCTCAGCGGCCGCCCGGACGGCGGCCCGGCCCGCAGGCTCGTAGACATGTACTCAGCAGGCGAGCAGCGCGTGTACGAGCCGCGCGACCGCGGCCGCCTCCTGCTGCCGCTCTCCGCCTTTCACGACGGCAACTTCTCGCTGCTCATCCGCGGTAAGGGGCCTGGGCGCCGCGGCGGGGGCCCGCGGGGGCCGCGGGGGCGCGGGCCGGCCGCGCCCTTCACCGCGGGGCTTTCTGCCGGCCCGTAGCGGTGGACGAGGCCGACGCGGGGTTGTACACCTGTAACCTGCACCACCATTACTGTCACCTGTACGAGAGCCTGGCCGTCCGCCTCGAGGTCACGGACAACCGTGAGTGTGCTCCCCACTGCGCCCCCCCCCCGGGGACGCGCCCCTGCGGGCTCCCTCCCCGCCCGCCCGCGCTGACCCGCCCGCACCCGCAGCCCGGGAGGCCGGCGCGCACTGGGACGGCGAGAAGGAGGTGCTGGTGGTGGAGCGCGGCGCGCCCGCGCTGCTCACCTGCGTGAACCGCGCGCACGTGTGGACCGACCGGCACCTGGAGGAGGCGCAGCAGGTGGTGCACTGGGACCGTCAGCCGCCCGGGGTGCCGCACGACCGCGCGGACCGCCTGCTGGACCTGTACGCGTCGGGGGAGCGCCGAGCCTACGGGCCGCCCTTCCTGCGCGACCGCGTGGCGGTGGGGGCGGACGCCTTCGCGCGCGGCGACTTCTCGCTGCGCATCGACCCGCTGGAGCCCGCCGACGAGGGCACTTACTCCTGCCACCTGCACCATCACTACTGTGGCCTGCACGAGCGTCGCACCTTCCACTTGAGAGTCACCGAGCCCGTCGCCGGGCCGCCCCCGCGGGACTCGCCGGGCAACGGCTCCAGCCACAGCGGCGCCCCTGGCCCAGGTGCCGCGGCCCATCCCCCCGCTCCCCACGGGGACCTGGGTGTTGGCCAAGGGGAGGGCCCCTCGGGCCGCGGCCGGCCGTGCATCCCTTCCCGAGCCCCGCGCAGCAGCGGGGGCGGGTGGGTCCGGTGCACGCTCCGTGGGTCTGCGGCGCACTCCCTGACACCGCCCCGCACGACCCGTGCAGATCCCACCCTGGCGCGCGGCCGCAGTGTCATCAACGTCATAGTCCCCGAGGGCCGGGCGCATTTCTTCCAGCAGCTGGGCTACGTGCTGGCCACCCTGCTTCTGTTCATCCTGCTGCTTATCACCGTCGTCCTGGCCGCCCGCCAGCGCCGCTGCGGAGGTGAGCTGGGGCTCGGGTCCGCAGGGTGCCCCCCACCCCCGCAGTTGGGGGTGGGGTGTGGGGCGTGGGGCGTGTGCTCTGTGCAGAGGGTAAACTGGGATGGGAGGGTTCCTTAGGGCTGAGGGAGCTGGGGAGGGGGTGACACTGCCCCCAACATGAGTCTTCCTCCCCAGGGTACGAATACTCGGACAAGAAATCGGGGAAGTCAAAGGGGTGAGTGTCCCCTCCAGGCTCTCCTGGGGACCAGACCCCCCCCCCCCCCCCCCCCCCCTGATCTAACTGCCTACCACCCTCTCCACCTCCAGGAAGGATGTGAACATGGCAGAGTTGACTGTGGCCACAGGAGACCAGGCTCTTTACAGGAGTGAGGACACCCAGCTAGGTGAGGGAGGGCCCCAGAACCCAGGTGCAGACTGCGGCTCCCAGGCCTGAGCTAGGTAGGGGAGGCACATCTCTGGGGGCCGGGGGGCCTCACCCTGCCCTCCTCCTGCACCAGATTACAAAAACAACATCCTGAAGGAGAGGGCTGAGCTGGGCCGCAGCACACTTCCCACAAAGAACATTGACTTGGACAGAGGTGAGTGACTAGGAGGGCTGGGCCCATGCCTCACCCTGTCCACACTCACTAGTCCTGGGAGGAGGAGTCCTTGGGCAGTCCTGCTAGATGTCTGCCTTGTGTTTACCCCTGTGACAGAGGGGCAGAGGGCAGACACCCACCTGTTCCCTTGGCTTCCAGAGTTCAGAAAGGAGTACTGCAAGTAAGGGATCCTGGGCTCCTGGCTGGGCCAGCAGCCCTGCCAGCTCCTGTCCGTCCGTCTTGGAGGATGACCTCCTGACCCTCATGTGGCTCACCTGACCCCCTTCCAGCGGCTGGTCCCGCTGTCCTGGAACTTGGCCTGGACTGGCACAGAGCAAAGCTGCCTCCAGCCCCTCTCCCAGGAGCCGTCCTAATCCTCTCTGGGATTCTGCTGAGCTGCAGCTGGCCTCTTTGCCAGCCCTCAGCAGGTGCCTGCTGGCTCCCACACTCCCTGGTGGTCCTGCCCCACCCCCCACCCCAGGCACAGCCCCAACCCCACTGATGTTCACCAATCCTTCAGGCTCTCCTGGCCCCTGCCACCATGGGCTGAAGCTCGGGTCATCCTCAGGGCTAGCACCCTGGCCCCTTTCTAGGGGGAGCCTGCAGCTGGGACCTGAGGATTGCACACTCCAGGCCCCAGGCTAATTTCCCTCTGCTCTGTGTTGGGCTACCTGGGCCTGCCGTGGAGCTTCTCTGCCTCCCACCCTATTCCAGCTTTGTTTCCAGCAAGTGCCTTGACAGTCACTGGGCTCCATGTGACTTTTGACTCTGACTCCCCCCCACCCCAGCAGCCCCTCCTTGGGCTGGCATCTGGGGCTGGGACCTCATTTGGGTTCTGTTTTGGCTGAGGACAGGGGAGGAGTAAAGACGGTTCTAGAGCGGTTTGTGCTGCCATACCCAATACCCCACATTTGCTCCTCCTGGGAAATGGCCACCATCACAATAAAGACCACGTGATTTTTAGACTTGGCCCCAGGTATGCCTCTGTGGCTCCCACTTCATGTCCTGGGGGGCGGAGTCTGGGCCTTGGGAACCTCAAGAGGCTTTCCTTCCCCACCCATTTCTTTGAGTGGGAGGTCTGAGTCTAGGTATCCTGGGAAGAGCGACATCGGGTCCAATCCGGTGTCACTGTTCCTGGTTGGGTTGTAAAGGAGTTCCAGATTCTCTTCTGAGGGCTTATTTGGACAAGGAGGAGGGGAGCCTGGACATGCTCAGAGGACAGCCCTCTGAGCAGCAGAATGGGATTAGATATGTGAGGACAAAAGGGGGAAGCAGGACACTGGTGAGGGTGACAGGAGGGGGCTGCAAGAGGAAGAAGCCAGTTGTGTTTCCCCAGCTCTGACCTCAACCCCCAAAACTCTCCCAGGGCAGCAGGAAGTGGGAAAGGATGTCTGTCACCCCATGCTAGAACCTGGAGGTGGTGTGTTGAGACTGCAGGTAATGTCTGGCTGAATTAGGGGCACAAGCCAGCCACACAGGGTCAGCAGGTAACCTGGCATCTAAGCTCCCACTCTGGGGAAGTGAAAACCCTAGGGCCGCTGTGAGGAAAGCACAGTTTCAGGACACGAAGAAAGGAAAGTCAAAAGATTAGTCACAGATCCCAAAACGGGGCTGTGCTGAGCAAGGCTTCAGAAGGGCAGTCCTGCATTCCGGATCAGGAGAGAGACAGCAGGACAGCACACACCTACTACTTATAAGGTGATCACTGATTTTTTTTTTTTTTTGTAGGCTCAGTTCTGAGTGGTCATTTTTAAAAAGGTACCGAGGGAGACACAAGGCAGGAGTGTGCAGCCCGCATCCTAGGCTCAGGCTCTTGCCTGAATGTGCAGACTCTGGATGTGAGCAGGGTTGTCAGCTGTGCAATGCTGCTTGGACAGCACTGGAGTGGCTGTCCTCTCACCACACACCTGCAAGGATCCCACAGTAGCAAAGGCCGGGGGTGGGGGGAGAGTCTGGTCCAGGGAGCTGTGGCTTGCTTGCCTGCCTCCCAGCCTGGTGACCCCTGGCCCCATAATGGCTGCACTGCTCTGACCACAGACTCACTCCTCCTTGCACTGGACCAGCCTGACCACATCAGAGACCGCTGGTACTGGTCTCTAACCTCTGGCTATCAGCCTCTCTCATATGACCTGTGCAGCAATGCGAGAAAGAGAGGTTTGGGGGGCGGGCAGCAGAGCGCAGAGGGGGCATCAGACCCGCATCTGTGAGACCAGCAGTCACTGGTGTCTGGCCTGGGGGATGCTGGTCTCCTGGGAGCTCTCAGAGTGGGGACTGTCTCCCTCCCCTAAACACCCAGCAGAAGGCCACAGCAGACCCTTCCTCCAAGGCCATGCTACCTGGCTTCCTCAGATTACCTCTGTGGAAACCAAGACCCAAGGGGAGACGCTGCATGCTTTGCTGATTGAGTGTCCACCTCACAGAGCCCTGTCCTCTCTCCCCACCAGAGCCTAGGGGGATGGAGGTCAGTGCCCTTGGCCTAGGCTGACCTGGGGGTGGTCTCTAGCCCGAGCTCAGGGGCTCTCCTTCAAAGTCTGGCTCCTGCAGTCAGCGGCGGATTGATGGGCTTTTTCTTGTGCTGATCCACTGCCCAGGGATGGTCATGACTAGGCATCTGGGACAGCTCCAGGCTCCAGCCAGCTTCAGGGGGAGTGCCAGGACAGGTTGCAAGGGGTTATCAGTCATCCTCCACCATGATCACTCTCGGGTCCTATCGGCCTTCACTCTCACCGTGTGGGACTCCCTCTACTGGCCTCAAGTCTTCCTCCTGGGGTGGGGGAGACCCTCTACCTCCAGCGGGATCAGCGTGTGGTTGGAGTCTCTACAGCCCGAGGGCTACTGCTCTGGGTCTCCCTTGGTCCCCAGAGGACCCCAGGCTGGTTGGATCGACAGAGGCGGTGATGGGGCGGAATCTTCGCCGGCCGCCAGAAGCGCCCGGCCCGGGGCACTGTGTGCACACGTGCGTGCGCACTTGGCCGGCGCCGACCTCCGCCGCCGCCTTCAGCCGCACACGCACTCCCGCCTCCTCGCGAGCACCCGCCTGCGCTCGGCGCGCGTTTCGCGGAGCCTCTGTGGCGCCGGCAGAGGACGCGCGGGCACGCAGCGGGCGTCCGGGCACGGGACCGAGCTGTCTCTGGCTCCCGCCCGCACACAGGTGACCTCAGCTTCCCGTGCTGTCCCCCCAGCTGCCCGCCGATGTGACCGGGACGCCCCCCGACTCTGAGCACCCACGGGCCCCGGAGCGCTCGCGAAGGGGGTGGAGAACCGGAACCCTACTCCTGGGTGGTGCGGTCGACCCCTGGGGGCCCCGGCGGGGGACCTGGCGTCGCCTGGGGCGGGGTCTCCCTCCTGACCGCAGGGCTGCTTCCGGGGGCTCCCCAGCCCTCTCCCTCCGGGGGACGCGCGCCTGTCAGCCCACGGGCCGACACCGTAGGCTGAGCACGGGTTACGGCCCGAACACATTGGGGGCGTCCCGCGTGCCGGACCGGGGACCCCGGGTGGGAGAAGGGGGGCGGGGACGGGGCACGGGAGAGCCGCGGGAGCTCTACGCCGGCGGCCCCGCCGCCGCCGCCGCCGCCGGCTCCGCCGCCTACGCGCTCCCCCTCACCCCTACCCCGGCCCTTCCGCGCGTGCGCATCCCCGCCCCGCGCCGCGCCGCCAGCGGCCCGGTGACGTCAGGCCCCTCCCGCTCTCGGGCGCCCCCCGGCGGGCGCGCTCAGGCCCGGGGCCGGCGGTCCCTTTAACTGCACGGCCCGAGGGGGCGGCGGCGGCGGCGGCGGCGGGGCGCGCCGACGCGGCCAGGCCTCGCGCGCCCTCCCTGCCTGCGTCCCCGGGCCGGGGCGGATGGGCGGCCGCGGGCCGCGGGGCAGCAGCCGGGGCGCGAGCGGAGCCGGGGCCGGCGGGGCGGGTG